CGATTTGGGGTGGCTCGATCGCCGATTCCCTCATTCACGATACGATGGCGCGATGGAGCGATCGTGAATGGCGGCCTTTAAGTTCTTCGGAGTCTGATTACGGATTGTGCAGTTCTAGAAGCCGACATGTCCGTCGTCTCAGTATTTCAACCGTATCCGATGTCTTCAATCGAGTTAATCTACTTGTTCTTCGTTTGGTCTGCTTGAAAGAGGCTGCTTACTCGTGAGATCACATAACATACTAACCTAATCTACCCTAAGCTCACTCAGTCCAACCAAAAATAACGGTGTTCACGAATATATCCTTAAAGCAACTGAACATTGAGCAAGTTCATCTGCAGAAGCACATCATTAACCCTACGTATTCCAACGATATACGAGTCAGTAACTTAACGTATCACAAACCAACCTTGTAAACTATACCGAAATTTTACCAAACTAGCATAACGAAATTTACAACCCTCCTATTATAATCATATTATATTATATTAATATAAGAAAATGCAACAAACTCTTTCCATTTGCGGATGATAATTGTGCATAGTCGCCTGCACTGGATACTGGGAACGACCCGTTCTTCAAGTGCCTGATCACTGCGGGTCCCAACTTTTCGTTGGCTGGATCTATAGACATTCGGTAGGACTCCTTGGATGAGGGATCGGCCAGTCGCAAGGCCTCTACCTGTACACAGGACAGCACAACACAGAAAAACATCCATGGCTTGGTTAGGATTCGAACCCACGGTCGTAGTGACCAAGCGACACAAGGCCCACGCCTCAGACCGAGCGGCCACTGCAGACCCCAACATAACCACAGTCAAGCAATTTCAGATCTCAGCAGGTGACGGTCGTCTGTGCACGTGTAAGAGTAACCTATCGCAACGAAACCTAACTCAAATCTATCCAACATAACATTTAAACGAATATTTTTTATTGGCAGTTGATAATTTCGTGTTGTATTCCGCACGTGATCATCACTAACCCAGACTTACCTAAAATAAGTTAAAATAAGCGAACCTAAACAACATAATCAAATTTAACAAAACTTTCCCATTGGCTGGCGATAATTATGCATTGTCTTCTGCGCATTCGCGTCAATAATCTAACCTAACCTAACCTAACCTATCCTAACCTAACCTAACCTAACCTAATCTAACATAACCTAACCTAACCCAACCCAACTTAACCTAACCAAACCAAACCTAACCCAACCTATACTAAACCTGTCGTAACTTCATCTAACGTATTGCAAAGTAGCCCAAATTAACTGAGCCTTACGTAACAAACTTAAGCGTGCCGAAGCATGGCTTATTGACCACGCGTGCCCAAGAGTAACAAAGCGTGACCAGGCGTGTCCTGCTTTGACTTTGTTACAAGGGAACACCATATCTGTCGAAACGTGACGAAGATTTAAAAAAGCGTGACCAAACGTGACCAAGCGTGACAAAGCGTGACTAGGCGTGACCTGCCATAAAGGCGTTACGAGAGGTCACCATAGGAGTTAAAATACATCGAAGGTTTGAAAAGTGTGTCCAAGCGTGATCAAGCGTGCGCAAGCGTGACAAAGCGTGATCTGACATAAAGGCGTTACGAGAGTTCACCATAGGAGTTAAAATACATCGAAGATTTGAAAATTGTGTCCAAGCGTGATCAAGCGTGCGCAAGCGTGACCAAGCGTGACAAAGCGTGATCTGACATAAAGGCGTTACGAGAGTTCACCATAGGAGTTAAAATACATCGAAGATTTGAAAATTGTGTCCAAGCGTGATCAAGCGTGCGCAAGCGTGACTAGGCGTGACGCATTGTGTCCTTAAGTGTCGAAACGTCACAAAAATGTTCAAAACGTTAACTAACCTAACAAACTCCACTAAACAAACTTGATCTAACATAACCTACTCTAACCTAACCTAACCTAACCTAACCTAACCTAACCTAACCTATCCTATCCTATCCTAACCTAACCTATCCTAACCTAACCTAACCTAA